GCTGAGTAGAGACTGTGGACAGTTCAGAACCCGTGCACAAAAAAAAGGCCACCCTGCAGCCAGGTGGTGGTGGCACACACCTTTAATCCCATCACTTGGGAGGCAGAGGCAGGTGGATCTCTGAGTTTGAGGACAGTCTAACCCTAACCCTGATCCAAGAGAGTCAGTTCAACACAGAGAAACCCAGCTGGAAGAAACGAAGGATGGAAAGAAAGAAAGAAAGAAAGAAAGAAAGAAAGAAAGAAAGGAAGGAAGGAAGGAAGGAAGGAAGGAAGGAAGGAAGACAATGTCTCTGCTTTTGTAGTGAAGCTGAGTTGCTGCGTCTGCCTGGGGTGAAGCCTCTATTTAGAGAAACAGGCCACATGTATGTACAGGGGCTCAGGTATACCTGTGCTTGTTAAGTTTCAAACCTGGGACAAACAGCTGAGGTGCCTATTTAACATATCAAAGCTTACCTGTCAGGTCCTCCCAGCATCCCTCAGTCCCTACCTGTTACCAGGTATGACTGGCATACCCAGAGGCTGGGCTGCCCTTCCCCTAGAGGCTCTTCCCTATATGATCCAGACATTTTGGTTACCCATCCCTTTTTGTACTTTCGCCGTCTTGGCTGCTGCACCTCCTTCTGCTCCCTCACCTCTCATTCCCCTCCCCCTTCTCTTCAGGTGGCTCACGGTCACCATCACTCTGGACTCTCCCAGATGTGTCTGGGGCACATGCCTCTGGCTATGCTCTCCTACATATCTCTAACAAACTTTCTCCTCCACCATACAGAAGAGCAGTCATGTCCTTTCCTTTCCTTTTTTTTCAACTACTCTAACAGAACAGATTAAAAACTATAGAGAAAAACAAAAATAAATTTATAAAGGAGAGATGCATTATCAGAAAGTAATAGCTTCCCTTAGCTGAGCATTGATATGCAAAGTAAACACTGCCCCCTTCCAATCACCTATCAGGGTTGGTTATTCATCTGCAAACTAATCCTTCACACTTGATGCCCTAATTTCCCGAGGAATATCTTTCCTTTCCAATTAGCATGTTAATAGGACTGCAAGACATCTCTGGAGAGTGAAAAACTTGAAAGAGTCAGAACAAGTTTCAGCCCTTCAAGGGACATCAAACAAAGAACTTCTTTCAGGTAAGGGAATTTTCTACCCACTTCCCCCTAGAAACGCCTGAGACCACAAAATCTTCAAAAATGGGCAAAACTTTTCAATGCTGCATATAGTCTCTACTCTATTTTCCCAAGCCCGGAAAATAAAACTATCTCCTCCACCAATTTCTGTCTTGGTTTGTTTCAATAAAGACAGAGGGTAGTGGAATCTCCGGGTGCCTGCTAACAGTAGAGGCTGACTGGTACAGCTACATGAAACGGCAATAAGAATAAAGCCCCACAATTGGGCTGGCCTGTTACTGGCTGCTTTCTCTGTTCCTAGTTCACACGCACAGGCTGGTGTCACACCCTCTTCTCCCCCTGATCTGGGGAGACAATGTGACCATTTCTCCTGGTCCTGGACACACACACACACACACACACACACACACACACACACACACACACGAGACCCAAGTACAGGCATACAGTCTCCGGACTCCTAACCCACCACACACCGACCACTCCATCCTTCCAACTCTGCCCCAGCACTTCCAGCAGGACATTTCCCCACCCCCACCCTGTACAGCTGACACCTGGCTCCCTCCATGGCCTCTCCCCTCACACTCAACAGGCTGCAAAGACCAATTCATTTCTGAAAGTGAAAATCCTTTCATGAGGCAAAGCTCTCCTCTGGGACAATGCCACGCCCATGGGCAGAACAAAGCAGCTCTCTTAGCCCAAGTGTAAGGGCTGTACAGACAGCTGCCAGGCTGCAGAGAGCACAGGTGAGGTGCTTCTAGAGGGGAAAGGGGGCATCTGGGGTCTCCGCACATGTGGCCTTGTGCCAGGATGACTGGCACCCACGGCAGCATCGGCCTGAGGGGTGTGGCAGCTTAGGTCCTACATTTAGCTCCTCATTCCCCAATCCACATCATTCCCAGGCCCATCCCTTCTTCTCCTAACCCGGGGCACCCATGGCCAGGCTTGTCCCTCCTTTGTTCCCCACTTCCGAGGGGACAGGCTTGGTGAGGAGCCAGGGCACTCCCCAAGGCAGGCTCAGGAAGACAGAGGTATGGGAGGGACTTTTATACTAGGCTGACTACCAGTGAGGTGAAGGAGTTGGTTAAAGGGAGTCAGAAGTCTAGGGGGGAAATGAGAGAGGGTTCTAAACTCTCAGGAACACATTCTGATACCAGACCACTCCCCTCCTAGACTAGAAGGAAGAGTTGTCTGGAACAGCAAGCTCTGGAGAAAGGTGAATAGTGAATAGTATGCTGCCATTTAATGTGCGTCAAGCTGAGCGAGAAGGGGTGTAAAGAACCTCTGCCTTTGCCGGTAATGATGGCCATGAGAGCACTGGCCAGCTCTGTGCTGATATGATTTACAGGGGGGAAGGCTCAGGACACAAACTAGGTGACAGAAAACCCGGCCACCCCCCCTTTTGCTTTATCTCGCAAGCACCCCTAACTCGTTAAATTCAGCTGAATAGACTGGTCCCATGGTTGCCACCATGTCTGTTGGTTGACCTCAGGGCCCTCAGTCTCTCTAAGTGAAGCTCCTCCAGAAATGCCCACAGATCTGCTAACTCGGTGCTGACCCACCATTGAGTGCAGTACCCACAAGGCGGTCTCCATGGCCGCTCCCACCTGGCATCCCTGAATATAGCTCAAGCTCAGTAACTCTGAGACATTCAGGGTCACCGTCCATGCTCCTATCCTGACCCAGCCCAGAAGAGCCATGAAACAAAAAGACTTGAGAGAGTAACTCACAGAAGAAGGTAGCCTGTGGATATGGGGAGATAGCTTTGTACCCCAGAGAGCACTGGGGAAAGCCTCAATGGACAGCCACACACACCCCAGGCTAAAAACAAAGTACCCCATTACTGTGTGTGTGTGTGTGTGTGTGTGTGTGTGTGTGTGTGTGTGTGTGTACACAAAAGCACAGCCAGAGAAACAGCCTTGCAGTTCATGAGTAAGATTGAATGAACAGGTCAGGATATATCCTACTTCAGGATAAAGTATGAAAGTCCATAGGAGTAGAGAGAAGCTCTTAGCATCCAGTAGTTTCAGTAAGAAACTGAAATAGTGAGGGAATAGCTGATTAGTAATAGCTGATTCAGTAAGCCAGAGCTAAACCCAAACATAAAGAATTAATTATTCTACCTATTTCATTAGCATGGTTTAAGGGGAGCTCACCTTTCTCTCTAGGCCAGGAGACTGACCTGGCTACACTGGAATGTTAGGTCTGCTCTCAGGCTGGAAATTCTTGACTAAGAGTTTTTTTCCTTTTTTTCTCATTAATTATTTCATTTACATCCATATCACAGCCCCCTCCCTCCTCTTCTCCAAGTCCCACTTTCTCCCTTCTTCTTCCTACTCCTCCCCTTCTCTTCAGAAAAGGGAAGGACCCCTCCCCCACTACCAACTACCAAAGATAAGTGTCTTTCTTCATGGCCTGTCATAGCTGGTAAAAGACAAACACAGAAATTAGGTTGTCTATGGTCAACATTTGACTGCTTATGAACAAGCAGTCCTCCAGTCCACTATGTATAAAAGAATACACACAGACTCCTTCAGACACAGTACGGAGCTGTCCTCAGAAAACCTATCCAGGCAGCCCTGGATCCACCCATACATGTGGTTGCACTCATCATGTTCATGCTTAGAACTAGGAATGAGAGGCAGTGGTACCTCACGCCTTTAGTTCCAGCACTCAGGAGGCAGAGGCAGGCAGATCTCTGTGAGTTTGAGGCCAGCCTGGTCTACAGAGCAAGTTTCAGGACAATCAAGGTTGTACACAGAAAATCCTGTCTCAAAAAAACAAAAAGAAGGAGGAGGAGGAGGAGGAGGAGGCCTGAAACCTACCAAGATACATGCACACAAAGGTACATAGGTCCCTAGTACCTGCAGACAGAATCACAAATACCCTGAGAGTCCAGAAGCCCCTGCATGTAACTTCCCAACAGATAGATACACAAGTGAAAGAAGACACATCCCTCAGCTACCTGTGTGGGACTTACCTGAGTGAGAGATAACCAGCAAGATTCTAAAACACACACACACACACACACACACACGGGATGGTGGAGCGGGCACTGGGAGCATGGGTTGGCATTCCAGGCCACCAACAGCAGGCACAGTGGTTCAGCACTGGAAGGGGTGGGGGAGACAGTGCTTCCAGTAGCTTTAATCAAACCTGCCTCCTCCAGTTTTCCCCACTCCTCTCCCTGCTCGTTCTTGCAGTAACCAGGCCTGGGTTGGGAAACCAACAGACCACACACACAAGTGGGTCTTGGAAACCACCCTCCCAGGCTGACCAAGACTGACTGAAACTTCTGCTGGAAGAGACGGCTTACACCTCCCCCTCCACCTCACTGCTGCCACACACCGAGACCGAGGGAGGCCTCATCTAACAGCTGTAAGGCACTGGACAGAGGACAGGTCAAGGGAATACTTAGGAAAGCAGAGATTTACATATTTACATAGAACTATGGAGAGTGAGGACCTGACTCCTGAAGGGAGGGACCTTTAGATCCAACGCAGCCAGAGAAGCACCTAAAAGGTGCATCTACAAATAGGCAACAGCCTTGCTTCTGCTTATTGTCTATTGGGGATGGCAGGTGGGGTTGTTCTGGGACACCCCAACTCACTGCCTCCCAAGAGAGTGTGCAGTGGATCTAATATGAGCAGGACTTGGAAATGGGGCTACATCCAGGAAGCTGAGGAGAACGCTGTGCCCCACCAGGATTTCTGTGGGCCTAGGATGAGGGTGAATTGGAGAGCCTCAGAGAACTTGAGGTGGCCACTACTATAGCATTTCTGACTGTTTCTTTCACAGAATCCAACTCAGGGGGCCCTACCCTGCTGCAGGTTGCTGAGTGTCCAGAATCTACCACTTCCCCACTACCATGAGCACAAACTTGTCCAAGGACAATAACACACAGCCCATAGTGGAGCCACTGGATGGAGCCACAATGCTCCACATGTTCCTGCCAACTATGGTACTCCATGATCTGTGCTATGGGCCTAACTGGTAACTTGGCTGTCATTTTCATGATCCTGAGGCCACCAAAGATGAAAACGATAACTGCTGTATTTGTCCTGAACCTAGCTATTTCTGATGGGCTCTTTGTGCTGGTGCTCCCATATCACTGAGTAGTTGCTACAGCACTGGCCATTTTGGGAGCCATTTTGCAAGCTGGTACTGACCATTGACCACTACAACACCTTCTCCAGCACCTACTTCCTGGCTGTGATGAGTGTGGACCGTTACTTAGGGCTACTGGCCACTGTGCAATCTGTCTGATTGTCTAGGCACACCCAGAGAGGGGCAAAAGCTGCCAGCCTTTGTGTCTGGGTATCACCATCATGGTTCTGCCCTTCTTTTCCTTTGCTCATATCTACAGCAGTGAGTTACAGGCACCCAGTTGTGGTCTAAGCTTCCCGAGGTTCCAGGCTAGCCACATGTATACATTGGTCCTCGGCTTTGCAGTGCCTGCCTGTGGACCTGCTGCGCAGACTTTTTACCATGAGGCTCCAATCTGGCACCAATGTTCTGGGCAAAGCCAGGAGAAGGGCAACTGCCCTGGTCCTCACTGTGTTGGCTGTGTGCCTTCTCTGCTGGATGCCCTTTCACCTGGCCTCTGTGGTGGCCCTGACCACAGACGTGACCCACATATTCCTGGTCATTGGCATCTCCTATGCATCAGCAGCCTCAGCTATGCCAACTCATGCCTCCATCCTTTCTTGTATGCCTTTCTAGATGACAAATCCTGCAAGAATTTCTGTACCATAGTCCCATGTCAGGAGGCCTGAGCATCCTTGCCATTCGCCACATCCAAAAGCAGTTGACCAAGCCAGGGGACATCCTGCCTCTTCTTACTTATCCCTGTGTTCTCTACACAGACATGTACAAACAACCATGACATCACTTTTGGTACATCTGCCTCCTAAGCATCCTTGAGAGACAGTAGCAGGCAATTTGGTCCTGGTAGTAAGCACCCTAAGTCTGGTCACCCACAGAGGATGGACAGAAAGATGACCCCTGGCTAGTACTTTATGTGCCATGGAAGAGGAACCTTTGTAGAACTGAGAGGTTACAAAAGCACAGGTAAAGTTTGGTGTGCTGGCACATGCCTCTAATCCCAGCACTCAGGGAGGCAGAGGCAGGGAGATTTCTGTGAGTTTGAGGCCAGCCTGGACTGTAAAGCAAGTCCAGGACAGCCAAGGCTACACAGAGAAACCCTGTCTCGAAAAACTAAAATAAATAAAAATAAAATAAATAAAAAGCACAGACACCTCAGCAGTAAAGCCAAATATTGTTCTGACCCAGGACTCCCTGACAGCCTCAACACATGTGCCATCCTCCTGTCCACCAAGTACTTGAGCTTGCCACAGCGCTTAGACCTTCATCTAAGCCAGACAGTACTGGTTAACTTCGCTGTCCATACCTCCAGCCAGTCCTTCAATGCCGTTCTCTGATATCTCCCCTGAGTATTGCTGTGCAACAAAAACTTAGATGCTGAGAGATAAGAGGTGTGTAGCTTCTGAGGATCCAAAACTGGGTAGTGGCTTGTTCAAGTCCTGGCTCAGCCTCGCACAGGACTTCAGACAGAACACTGGTGAGGTCTAGGTCCTTTGGAGGCTAGGCATGGCTGAGGCCTCTTTCAAGAAGCCCTGCTCCCGTGGCTGCTGGCGAGACATGGATGGTCTGCGAGCTTCTGGAGTATTCTCTCATCAAGGAACCAGGGGATGTGAGAGTAAAGAGGAAAAGTGGGCCAGCACCTTGTGGTACCTAGTCTCAGAATGCACTCTCAGCCCTGATACATGCCGAGTATTGGAGAGGACTGGCGGAGGACAGCCTACACTGAGGGCTGTGGGCACTTTTTAAACCCCCACCCGCTGAGATCACGCTGTGCCTGGGCTTGTCTCTTCACCATACAGTCCTACTTCAGCGAAGCCTAATTAGCGCACACTGCTGCCGGGTAAAAGAACTCCTTCCAGACAAGAGCCTCTTCTGAATAGATGCATCAGAACATTTCACTTTCCAGTACTGCAAGGAGTGGCAAAACCAGGCATACTGGGTGATGGGGTGCTAAATGTGTGAAGGAGAAACGGTGAGCGGATGAGTGGGTGCGAAGATCAAGAGAGGAACACATTGCTGAGTAGGCACGGCTGTGAAAGAGCCAGGCACCCTGGGGTAGAGCCTCTCAGCTGGCTCTTGCTAGAGCTGACCACAGCAGAGGAGGTACCAGACAAATTTTCTCTCAAGGTTCCGAACTCTTGTCCCCTTCAATGTTCTAGCGGCATTTAGTAAGCGGTGGTTATACAGACTTTTGTCCCTACCCTCAACACAGCAGAGGGAACAGCCTCCTTCCCCCTTCACCACCTAGGGCTACATCAAGACCAAGGGTGCTTCTCACCAGGACCCTGTCGGAACTAGCTTTGTTCATCTCTATGAACTTGGGAGTCTGGGAAGGGACTTCTCCACCAAATCCCCACACTCTAGCTCCTGATGCCAACCCCACCATTAGCACCTAAATCTCCCTGTTTTTTTCTCACAGCTGGTTGGAGACCTTGGTTAGGCCTACATCGGGGCCACAGTGCCCTCTCGTGGAAAGGGTCCAAAGCAGCTGACGAACCTTTCTTTTCTGAAGTGAAAAGACCCTTGGGGCCTATCTGGTCCTATACATCCAGCCTTCCACATAACCCCCAAGAGGAAGTGTGCACAGTTCCCTTTGCACAGAGTAGGAGAGTCAGATTCAAAGAAACTGGACTTGATCAAGCCCAGTGGTAAACAGAAACAGGAGTGAGAGAGACTGTGTTGGACAGAACGGGGAGGAATGGAGAAGGTACATAATTCGGAGGGCCAGAGAGGCCCCTACCCTGATAGGCAACCTTCTTGAAGACACTGGCCAGGGTCAGCAGCCCAGAACCCCACCTATCAGGAGCATGCAATCTCCTGAGGACTATAACTTCATCAAGGAGGGAAATTTTCCCTTGATGCTGAATTTCTATTTGAAACCAATGTTTTATTGAGAATTATTTATGTGCCTATAAACACACACACACACACACACAAATTCACATTTTGAAGTCCTATCCCCCACTGTGATGGTGTTAGGAGGGGACTTTGTTATGTGAATGGGTCATGAGGTTGGAGCCCCACAACCTCATCATTACTACTAATGGAACATGCGCAGCTCTGAAGTCATCTTTCTGTAAAGTGAGGATGCAGTGAGAATACAATCTCACAGAATCTAATCTACCACATCTTCATGGACCACGTCTTTCGAGCCTGAGAGAAATTCACGCCTGTTGCTTATAAACTGCTGGACTGAAAAAGCCCAAACTGACAGTGTCTGTCATTAAAACTTGCATAAGACCAAGCACTGGCTCACCAGCCCTGTACTGTACCTTTGACACATAGGATCCTCTTCAAAGCCCCTTTATCTGCCCAAGTGTCAACCTGAGCCAAACTGGGCTTACACAGACAGGGGCCAAGAGGTAGCTTTCCATAGCATAGGGTTGCTTTGCCACCAGAGGAGGGTCGTCTGCTCCATTTTCACTATAACTCCTTTTACATCTGCTCAAGAAGTGAGGGTCTACATAATTGAGGTAAAAAAATAAATAAATAAAGGCTACAGGCCAGGAAGAAAGTCATCTACCCACTGCCCCTGAGAGTGGGGAGAAAAAATAGTCATTGTTTTAGAAGAAGGAAAGGCAGCAGCTTCCACAACCCAGGACCTATTTTCCCTCCCATGAATCAAGAGGCTCCTTGCCAACTGGTGGTGGTGGTGCATTCCTTTAATCCCAGTACTCAGGAAACAGGCAGGCAGATCTCTGTGAGTTTGAGGCCAGCCTGGTCTACAAAGCGAGTTCAGGACAGCCAAGGCTACATAGAGAAACCCTGTCTCAGAAAAACAAACAAATAAACAAAAACTCTGCCAAGGGCAGACCAGGTTTAAAAATCGTCAGCCTGATCCTATGGCCCCTCCCAATGCACGTCAATTCCCAGGAAGTTACCCTTTTGTAGCTGGAGTCAGAAGCACTTATTCTACAGACAGCACCAGACAGTAGGCAAGTGTTTATTACAGCACTCCTTCATTACTCAAGAGGCAGGCTCAGGGCTAGCTACATGCAGGAAATGATACTTGTTGCATGCTTAAATACATAAAGATATACAAATTCACAAAGTTTTTGACCAGAGCAATACGCTATAGCTAATGGTTCCCACCCAAGTGTCACAGAAAGAGACCTGGCCTTCCCGGAAAGATTGTTAAGGCCAGGTCTCTCTGAGACAGGAACCAGCCCAGGTCCGGCATCAGGCCCTGCATTATATGAAACCACCTGACCAATGCCTCAGTGTAAGACCACAATCTATCCAAGATTGCTGGTACTTTGGTATCTTGCCCACAGAAAGTATTTATAAAGCCTCTTATTCTCTGAACCACCAAATAGGTCTCCAAGGTACAGACTCTTCTTCCAATGTCCCCAAACCCTGATGGTCCTTGCAGATTGACTCAAAATGAACCATTTTAGGCTTCAGCGCTCCTACCAGCATTTCATTTGATACCAGCCTCCAATTTGGCAGCAAGCTCAAATTTGTCCTAAGACCTGTAAGTGAAACAAGTGGTCACAGTGGGTATAGAACAGAACACATCCTGACTGCCACCATCCCCAGGCTTCAAGTTCACTTCTAGCTGTACAGCTGCCGATCTCCAATGTCAAGTTAAAAGAGAGGCTGCTGAAGAGCTTAGGAAGGTTTCGGAGAATGCGGAGAGAACATATACTCCTGCTCTGCCTTGCCCTGCCCTTGCTAAGCAGACAAGACCAGCACATGGTGCCTCCATGTTGTGATCACCCTACAGAGGCCACATGGCTCTCTCCTGATTACCTCTCACACACCTGGGAGCAGAGCTTGGGAAGCAATCTGTAGTGTAAGAGTTCACAGTGGTTTTGGAGGGGGGGAAAAAAAAACCTCGGGGAGGCCAACCCCTTGTTGGCCTGTTGCTGAGAAGGTGGCCCAGCTTTGAGCCACAGTCAGTTAGAGCAGGCAGTGGCAGTCCAAGTAAAGTATGAAGTTCCCCTTCACAGACTTCCTGGTACAGCGCGGAAAGAATCTTCAGAAAACGGCCATCCAAGAACCCACCGACGCCCACCCACCTCAGGTAATCTGGCTGCATCAGTGGAGTCAGAACCAGAAGATGCTCCAAGGTGACTCCAGGCTTAGAAGCGAGTCCTACTTAAAAAGAAAAACGCTGCCCACTGTACTGCTGGGTAACACCAAGTCTGTCCAGCTGTCCTGTGGAGATACTGAAGGGCTGAGGGCAACGGCAGACAACATGTGACCATGTGATCAGAACCATACCTCAGGTTGAGCCCACCTAGAACCCGGAGAGCAGGGAGAGGCCAGAGAAAAGTCAAGCAAAGCATGAGTACCTACATGGGCTCACCAGGCATGTCCACTGTGCTATGGATGTTTCCATGCCGTGTCCTTTGGTCCTCTCTGGTCCTATACCAAGGAGGGAGCTTACTATAGCAGAGGCCGAGGAGGCCACCTTGACGCTTTGACCTGTCCCATGGTGTTATAAGGTCTTCCTCTAGGACTGAGCATCCTGAGCCATTCAAGGCCCCAGATGCTCAAGGTTCAGGGTCAACCTAGAGAGCAGTGACCTGTGTGAGTTCCGTGTTGGGTGTAGATGGGCTCTGTGGGCTGACAGGCACCATGGGCAGGTCCACGCCTAGTCATGCCGGCCGTGGTACTGTCTCAGAGGTCTTGCAGGCAAAGCCCACATCCTTGGCGATGCTGCGCA